AGTAGGGAACCTTTCCTCCGTATCAAAAGGGTTCTGACTGCTACTCCATGAAAAGCTTGTGCAAGGACGATGATCAGAGCACTTAATCCATGAACATGTACGCTCCTATTCGAGTTATTTCAGTTGTTTAGCTGTGGATTAATTTTTAAAGGAGAGTTTGTCAGTTCGAGACAAGCATGTCATCTTCTCCATATGTGCAAGGAAGGAAAAAATGAACTAGTGTACTGTAACAGTTGTGAGACGGCCGTACATAAATTTTTGTTATGTTCCTAATCCTGGTTAATTTGTCCATCTCAGTGAGTGGTCCGCACGCACAGGAGACTCAACAATATATACATTGATTATTCTACCATATATGGAGATACCAATATACTCTGGGGCATTGCTATGGTCCGTGAACCGTCCATTTAAACATTTTTCTATACCTAATTGATGCATGTGTGATGTAATGGATGTGGTAGGTCCTTTTATTATTTTACAACTTTGGGCGCAAGCGCAATATATTTTATCTAGCGTGTTAGGTTTTTGGTGCATGCACTTCTCTGTGTTAGCTAACACGAACATCTTTATCTTACACTAGCAGAAAGGAATGACCATTGGTACTGCTTTCAGCATTTCTGCTCAACGTTCTGTCTACGTTAGTACATGCTTTTTTAGGTTCATTTGGCAGAAAATATATATGAAGGGGAAATAACAACACACAAAGAAAATTTTCGCTATGATAAGGATGCAAGAGATACAGGTCACATTCTTCTGAAACTGGTACCATGGTGAATCACACGCGCGAATCAATAAACGATAATGCTTGTAGCCGTGCATCCGTCCCGTGACTCCCGTACGGACGAGCCGCATCCACTCAATCACAGACCCAGCCTGCGTCGCACGCCCGCTCTGCACTGCGCGCCCCCACTCGCCCGCGCCGCCCCCTTTCGGATGAACTCCGCCTGCGATCCTCCCCGGCGCCGCCCCCGCCTGCCATTGCGGGACGCAACTCCGCTCGCCCACGCCGCCCCCGCTCCGACGGACTCCGCCTGCATCGTTCGCTGGCGCCACCCCCGCCCCCGTTCGGATGAACTCCGCCTACGCTCCTCCCGAGCGCCGCCCACGCCTGCCATCGCGGGACGGAACTCCGCTTGCCCGTGCTGCCCCCGCTTCGACGGACTCCGCCTGCGCCGTTCGCTGGCGCCACCCCGCCCACGATGTTCGCCATCGCGGCACGGACTCCACTCGCCCACGCCACCCCTGCTCGCGGGACGAACTCCGCCTGCACCGCTTGCCGGTGCCGCCCCTGCCCGCGCCACCCTCCCGCCATCCGGACTCGTGCCTCCCATCGTGGCTACGCTCCATCCGCCTGCCGCAGACACTACCGAGGTCCGTGCCACCGCCGAGCTCCGCACCTGCGACTGTCGAGCACTATATGGCATCGAGCTCCGCGCCGACGTCGAGCTCCACAAGGACGAGCTCCATTCGTCCAAGCAGCAAGGTGACATTGCACTGAAAGCACGTGTTGCAAGCGTATGTTTTGAGTGTTTCAGTTGGTTTACAAGTATGTTGCAAGGGTTTCATATGGATGTTACAAAACTAGATCGAGATGTTGCATATGTTGCACTGGTTGTACACTTATGTTGTAAACGTCTGTCCCCAATGTTTCACTTGTTTTTTCAGACATATGTTGTAAGTGTGTTTATCTGGAAGTTGCATATGTTTCACGCATATGTTGCAAATGTTTTTATATGGATGTTGCGTACATGTTGCGAAGGTTTTCAAGTGTTTTCAGATGTTTTTGTAAGTGTTTCAGACGCATGTTTCAAATGTTTCATTTGTTTTTAGACGTATGTTGCATTTGCTGCACCTGGATGTTTCAAAACTAGATCGAGTGTTGCATCTCCCTCATCGCCTTTCTGCTGTCTAGCCTCGGTGTCAAGTGCGGGAAGGCAGAGGCGGTCCCCACTGGCGCGGGCGGGCCCTACGTGCTTGCGGGCAGGCACAGCAAACAAGACGTGGGCAGACAGGCACGGCACGCGGGATGGGGGGCAGTGGCGCGGACGTCCGGACAGGGGGCTAGCGTCGGAGCGCTAGCCATGCCCATCAATAAAACTGACCTTTTGTCCATAACAAATTGATTAGGACACAGGGGGCGCGGAGCTCGGCAGTCCCACAGAGATGCGTGTTCCAACGTAGCAGCCGTCAGTCATAGTCGAGGGGTGGTTGTGATTGGTTCACGCTGCCAAAGGTCATCTGCCCGGTTGTGTTTCTTCCAGGCGATCCAGAGGAGGAGCAAGGCACCGGTGTGTCGGTGTACAGAAAAGAGTCAGATCGATGGGAGTGGCACCGTGGCAGACCAGAGCAGAGAGCAGAGGCCATGGAGGCTCATGATCGAGCTGCCACCCGCCCGGATAGCCATGCTGCCAGAACGCCACCATGTCTGAATTCTAATCACCCGCCAGGATAAGCATCCACCCAGGCCCACCGCGACGCGCTGCTCTCCGCTCTCCAGCACGACTGACCTGCGCTGTAGCGCGTTCGGCTTCATGCGTGCTAAGAGCTCGGGCGAGGGCTGGCAGGCCATCATGAATCGCGATCGTCAGGTTAGGGTGGGAGGAGTGTTCACCTGTCTGGTTGCTTTCTTGCCCTTATCATCGGACAATCTGATGTTCATAGAAACTGTTGGCTGATTTGTTGTGAGAGAAAAATATTGTTCGTTGGTTTAAAAAGTACGGCTTATAAGCCAAGCGAACAGGGTGATGACAACGCAAAGGCCAATAAATATGACTACTATGTTACAACAAGTTGAACCAAAATTGAAGTTTCAAACTCAAGTAGGTGCGACTGCAATATCTTTTATTGTCCATATGGTTGACAAGAAATCAAATGACGTACCCCTCCGATTCCAAATTATAAGTTTTTTATTTGCTTTTCTAAGTGCAAGCTATATATGCACCTATATGTATGCAACATGTCTAGATACGTAACAAAGGTTATGTATTTAGAAAAGACAAAACGACTTATAGTTTAGAGTAGAGAGAGTAATTTTTAACAAAAAAATGCTACACAATTATTTACAAGTTATTTTCAAGGTGACCTTTTGGACGAGGTTTTTGTCCATTCATCATATGGAGGCAGACCAGTCTAATTTGAAGTGAATATGTCGAGTATTGGAGACTATAGCAATGGAGATTTTCCCTAAAATGGGTGGCTTTTTTAGTAATAGGCTTAGCGCTTCGTTATTAGTCTGTTTTAAATCCTTCTCTTTTGTTGTTTTTTAAATGGTGACTAGAACTTTATAATAATAACTAGAAGGATACCCTGCGAGTTGTAGTGGGATATTTTTTATAAATAAAGTTGTTGCATGTGTATAAGTTGGTTCAACATATATGTTCTTATATAGGTTTTGGTCAAAACTAGGCAATTTATGGAAGAATCCAATAAAAATAACAGAATATTAGATTGAATTATAAGATGATAGAACAAAACATATAGCATGATGTGGATGCTTTGAATTATTGTAGATTGACAATAGTAGTTGCACTTAATGAGGGATAACATGGATATATTTTACACTTAGTTTGGGATGATGTGGATCATTTGCATGAAAAGGTTGAAAGTTAGTTTGGGGAAGGGAGTAGAAAGATATGCATTTAGTGAAGCATGATGTAGATAACTTGCATATTAAGATTGGAAGCTAGTGGGTGGATGGTGAGGCATTTAGTATAGGATGACGAGGATAACTTGCTTGTTGGAAGCTAGTGGTTGTTTTAATAAGATATATAGACAAATAGTTGGGTTAGAAGCATGCACCGATAACTTTTTTCTGATTAACGGTCAAAATTAATCCTTTTGATCAGGGAAACTCGTTGCTTTGTTATATATGAAAAGCCTTTGTTCCTAAGCATGATGATGTCCATGCCAACCTTGAGGGGTTCGGCATGTTTTGTTCAGAGATGCATCAAGAATTGATGATATTCTTTTCTGACCATATTGAGACGATGGTGACAAACAACCACTAAAATGTACTGAGTATAGTTGCTCTTTCTTTTGTGCAACATACTAAAATATGCTTGAAATTGCAAACTTATGTGTTTCTCATCCATGTCTATGTAAAACATAAATGAGAGATTCTTCATGCTAAAGTGAACAAGGCATTTTGCTTGGAGGCTGCATAGAGATTGTTCGTTTTTCATGCATGTCTAATAAACTATGACTACAAAGCTACAGTCTAGCTAGGAGCCCTTCTTTCATTTCGTCACCATGTCTATGCGTGACTAGGTACTATCTCTCTCTAAATGAGGGACCAGGTCCTTTTTTTTTTGAAACAAGGGACCAAGTCCTATATCTAACAACAACAAGAGAGATCAAGTCCTATGTCTTTATTAATTGTTTCCACTTGATATATTAGAGGAAAACAATATGGCCACAATACAGCTTGGGAGTGCAATGGAGCTATGATTGATGTCTTGAATTGCGAAGTAGCCACAAAGTTTCCTAACAACAACAACAAGAGAGATAAGTCCTATGTTTTTTTATTAATTGTTTCCACTTGATACCACAATACAGCTTGGGAAGAAAATGGAGCTACGATTGATATGTTGTACCTGCATCTCATTCATGGCCATAACAGCGGCATGTTGTACAGTTATTTTTATGCAATTTCTTTTTTGACTGTATCCTCTTATCGATTGAGTTAACCACACCATAATTTTGTGATTTTGTTTGCTCTTGAGCTTTCTACTCCACATAAGTACGTAATTAAGTTTGGCCATGAATGATTGAGAAAGTAATATGCCACGACATGATATCAGATTATTATCCTAGCAAACTCCCATAATAAACCATCACTGTGGCACTTTGATCCCTCGCCACTTGAATAACAGATTCCACAGTTACATCAACAAAGACACAAATGATTCAGCTACTCCGATCCAACAGAACCAAAGGATGGATGGATGAATTATTCTGGCAGGCAGAGGCAGGCATCCCGGGGTAGCTAGCAGAGCTGGCAATCATGTATGTGGCGCAAGCAGAGGATTGATGACATGTCCGGCGAAAACCACCACGCCACTGACATCCTCCATGAGGAAGAAGGCGAATGGGTGATCGGCGACGAAGTCCACAGCCGGATCACGGGACAGGGAAGCCCCGAACATCATGGCCACGGTGCCAGCGGCGGCCATGGTCCCGCTCTCCTTCACTTTGACGACACACTGGTGCAGCACGGACGACAAGGCCACCGGCGGCGCCGGCGGGGTCAGCATCTCCGAGAACGAGTCGCCGGAGGAACGGAAGGGCAGGTCCAGCCCGAGGCTCTGTAGCATCTTCGACGCATCCACCGTCAGCGACACCTCGAACTTGGGGATCTTGAGCTCGCCCACCTTGAGGACGGGCTGCTCCGGCACGGCGGACCTGCCCAGGAGCGTGTCCGGGCTGGCGCTGATCGCTCGCACGAGGGCTGGCAGGCCGTCGCGGTCGTCCGGGAGGTAGATGTACATGGCGAACTCCGTCCTGCCGCCGCCGCCGTCGCCGCCACGGTAGGGCATACGCAGGACCTTGAAACCGGCGGCGGGGTGGACGCCGATCTGCATGAACCTGTGCCGGAAACTCCCCTCATGAACGGCACGCGCACGACGGCGTGTTCCCGCGACGCGTCGACGACGTAGAACGGGCCTTCCTCGGTGCGCTCCGGGACGAAGGGGTCGCTCCAGTAGCCGTCGAAGTAGACCGAGTTGCCGACGACGACCGCCGTGGAGGCGTGGCAGTCGCCCTCCGAGAGCATGTTCTTGATGAGGCCGCCGGTGGTGCGGTCGAACCACTCGTTGATCTCGGCCGTCGCCCCCCTGGGATTGCCGCGGAAGTTCACCGATCGCGCCTCGGCCTTGTGGACGGCGGCGGCCGTGTCCGCGAAGGCACGGCTGAGGCGAAGCGAGGCGTCGACCCAGACGCCGGTGGCGGACCGGACCTTGGACTCCTCGTCCCCGCCGCCTCCGCCGTCGCGGCCGGCGAGGACGACGGACGCGACCTTCGAGGCCAACGTGGCGTGTGCCTCCGCGCCCGCGGGGCCGAGGAATTGGGCGATCTGGTCGCGCGTGGCGCCCGAAGCGCCGGCGGCCAGCAGGGAGAGCGTGGAGTGGAAGGAGATCGGCGAGAAGGCGAGGTTGGTGGTGGGCATTCCGTTGTCGAGGCCTCCAAGGTGGCGGAGGAGGAGCAGGCAGAGCGCGGCCTGGTCCCGCACGGCGGCGGCGGCGACTACCTGGCCCGCCATTGATGTGGCTTTTCACTTGCCGCGACCGCGATTTGGAGGGGGGCGATGATTATTCCCACAAGCTCAGTGAACAGGGTTTAAATATAACAGATTTATTAGTTTCTTTCGTTGTGACATCTTAACTCATAAGTAATGAAACCTTAGCTCATAAGTAAATGATTTTCTGTGTTACCTACTCACTCCTTCCAAAAAATAAGTGTCTGGTATTCAAGTCGGTCAAACTGCAATCTTTTTTCGAAACTTCTATACTAAGTCTAAGGGTTATTTGGCTAAATACCAAAACTGTCATGGATGGTTAGAGGGCTAAATGTCAAATTAAAACTCTAATTTTGTTTGATTGCATGATCTACTGCAACTCCTTCCCATCACCATATTTCTATTTCTGTTTTATTTTCTAGCAGAATTTGGTGAAACCCAAGGCTCTCGGGGCCTATATTTGGTATGAAAGCTCATCACCGCAGCCACCATGGCAGAGAACTCACTCCTTAAGCTCGTCACCAGTAGTTTGAAAGAGATCATCACCGCTGGTTTCTTCTTTTATTGATGAAAGTCGACGGTACTAATTAGGGTTATTACCAGCGGGCAGCGGCCGGCTCGTGTTACCAACGGACAGTAATAGTGAATTTTAAAATAATGGGCTTGCTAGCACCTGGACGTCTGGACGGACGGGGTGTCCGGACGTCTGCGCATGCAGTCCGTTTTCCCACGTCGTTTCCCACGCTCACATGGGACCCGTACCACCCTAAACGTCACCAGCATGAAGAAAGAAGGGAGGCAGCGACAGATGCCCCACCGGCGCCAGGAGGAGGAGGAGGAGGTGTCGGGAGGAGGATGGAGGAGACACCGAGGCGAGGCAGGAGAAAAGCGAGGTGGGAGATGTAACACCCGATTTGCTTCTGAAACATCCAAATGCAACGCTTGCAACATAAGTCTGGAGGCAGACGAAACACTTGAAATATGCATCTGAAACACTTGCAAAAACACCTAAAAAACACTTGAAAACCATATAAAACATATGCAACATCCAGATAAAATACTTGCAACATATGTGTGAAACATATGCAACATCCAAATAAACACACTTGCAACATACATCTGGAAAAATAGCTAAAACATTAGGAACAAAATCTTGCAACATACGTGTACAACACATTGTAACATATGAAACATCACAATCTACTTTTGCAACATCCATATGAAACATTTGCATCATGTAGATGAAACATTTGAAACACTTGAAACATACTCTTGCAACATGTGTTTTCAGCGTTCAATGTCACCTTGCTACTTGGACGAATCGCGGAGCTCGACTCCAGCGTGGAGGTCGGCGGCGGCACATGGAGCTCGCCGATGTGCCCCTAGGTGAGGACCTGCTCGGTGGCTTGGTTGAGCACCTGCGCAAGGTGCGCGAGCACCCTGGGCAAGCATCTACACGAGCACCCGTGGGCGACCACCCGCTCGGTGGCCTAAGCCATCGCACCCTTGGCGAGCACCTACTCGGCGACTGAGTGGGTAGCGGAGGTGGCCACGGCGAGCGGATGCCTTGTGCAATTGAGCGGCACGATGGAGCGTGGAGTGGGGAAGGCGGGCGACGCGGTGGAGTCGGGTGCGGAGGTCCGATGGAGCATTGGATAAGGCCACGACGATGGAGGCTGAGCGAATAGAGAACTTTTTTGAAGAGGTGCTTACGGGAGCGAGCGAACGGATAAGGTAGCGAGTGCGGAAGCCACATCCATCCGTTCCAGATGCCCTCAAGAGAGCATTACCGTTAAAATAAAAGGTCTAGTGAGCCCTGAAGAAGGTGATGGAAAATGATGGTGTCCAAATCTTCCGTCAACGGAAGATAATTCTTGGTTTGGTGGAAACTTGTCACTCATGATTCGGCTTCCAATCCTGAACCCATGTTGGACCAGCCACGAAGGCTAATTCCTGTCCCTAAATCAAGAACACATGCAAGAAACAAGACTCACCAGGATTTTCAAAAAAAAATATATTAAGCCCATGAGTTGGGGTCTCACAAACTAATAAACGAGACAACTGTCGAATACATAGTATTAGGGGCCGGCTAAGTACTCTTAGATGCATACTAAATGGAATCCGATACGATACAAGATACACACTACTGGAAACTCAAATTGCCCTGTGGGTAACGAATTTTTCTGTGCGTTTTTTTCGGTACGCACAGAAAAATTACGATTATTCTGTCGGTTCCAAAATATCCCGACAGAAAAATACGAAAACCCACAAAATAATTGTATGATTTTTCTGTGCGTGACAATACACACACGAAAAAATCAGCACTCATAGAAAAATGTAATTTATTCTATCGGTTCTTTAAAAACACACAGAAAAAATATATGCACGCATAGGATAAATAAAAAAAAAAGAAGTCCTAACCCTAACCCGCCGGCCGCCGCCTCCAACACCCTCAAGACGCCGCGATTTTCATGGACTCGCCTCTGCTCGGCTCTCCTCACGCGCACACATTGCGCCACCCCCCAGCTTCGCCGCCCGCCCGCCGCTTCTTCTTCTTCCCAGTGAGGCGGCCGCCCCTCCCCTCCCCCTTTTTCACCCGGCCCCAGCGCCCCTCCTCCCCCGCGGTGCCCGCCCTCCCCTTCTTCTTCCCACCGGCGGCCACCCCCTCCCTCCCCTTCTTCACCCACCCGGATCCGCCCTCCTCTCCCCAGGATCCGACCGTGGTGGTGGTGGTGGTGGTGGTGGCGGCCCCTCCCATCCCTTCTTCTTCCCTGTGGTGCCCCCCCCCCCCTTCTTCACCCGGCGGATCCGGCCCTCCCTCTCCGGATCCGGCCGGTGGTGGTGGTGGTGGTGGTGGTGGCGGCAATGGGCATGGTGGTGGCAGCCCCCCCCTCCCCTTCTTCTCCCCGTCGGCCCCCCTCCCTTCCCCTTCTTCTTCCCAGGTGCCCCTCCTCTCCCCTTCTTCACCCGACCGGATCCGGCCCTCCCTCTCCCAGATCCGGCCGGTGGCTGCGGTGGTGGTGGAGGTGGTCGGCAGCGGGGTGTGGTGGTGGCGGCGGACCTCCCCTCCCCCTTCTTCTCCCCCGCCGGTGCTCCTCCCCTCCCCCTTCTTCTTCCCCGGCGGGTGCCCCTCCCCTCCCCCTTCTTCACCCAGCCGGATCCGGCCCTCCCTCTCTCGGATCTGGCCGGTGGCTGCGGTGGTGGTGGTGGTAGCTAGCGGCGGGGTGTGGTGGTGGTTGTTGGTTGTTGTATTTTTTATGCGCATCTATGATGCAAATTCCCATTTCCTAAATTACTGTGATTATTGCAACAAAAATCACCATCTTTCGGCTGAGATTGCACCGCAAATTTAGTTTTTATTGCATTCAGAGTATGTTTTCTAGTATAATTTGTTGTAGTCAATGCCATTTGGTATCCGACTTGTTGTCATTCTTTGTGATTGTGTGTCTCGAAACATGGCAGAATACAAGGGGAACGGATCTTGCGACACTGGTTGCTTATTTATGAGTTTCTAGTTACTATATGCCCGTTTACATGTTCTGATTGTTCTAATGATCATGTCGGAAAAAACTGATGATTGTTTTTTCTTAGCTAGTTATCCAGCTAGGTGTAATTTGTTTTCTGAATATAGTCTTTTGTTTTTTCTTAGCTAGCTAGCCAGCTGGTGTAATTTATTTTCTGAATACAGTCTTACTATTATTATTGGAGTTCACTTGATTGGCCTTTCTACTAGTGGCATCTTGACTGAAAATTGATGTGAATGGATTAGTAGCATACTTAATAGTGAAGTAGTTGATAAGTTGAGTTTAGAAATTTCCTTGGTGTTTATTTTTTCATTCAGATTGTCTTATTTGGAAATTAGTAGCTCAAGTTGTTCACATCTTGTAACCTTGTATGTGCATCAGGTATGTGCATTACAATGAGCTCTGGCTAGATCCACGACATGGCAACCCTTCTTCTCCATGCTGCCTCCTCCATCGGGCCCTTTGCCGGTGACGAGCTCCCATCAGGTATGTGCATCCCATTCTCCCCCATTCTTGTTGTGCGAAATAGAGTTGTATGCAGTTGTAAATAGCTGCTCATATGTCAAGTTGTGCCTCTTTTTTAGTAGTTGTTCAACCAAACTGGATGTGCATACAAGCAAGGGAGATCCGTGAGATTTTATAATTGTAGTATGTATGTGCTTCTTGCTATGATTAAAGAATTGGTGTAGAGAAAATCAGTGATTAAATAATTTATGCTTCTTGCTATGATTTTTTCCATTGCCTGAATGCCAGTTAGCTCTATCATTCAGCACCAGTCTGCAACTTTGCATAGTGTGATGCTATTTAGAACAACAGATGGGCCTTGGTGTCAGCACTTAGTATTTGTTGAAAATTAAACTGTGTTCAGTAGTATACACAACACAAAGAAAATTAAATCTGTTAAATCTGTGTTCAGTACCCTTTATTCAGAATTTGTGGAACATATGCAGTAAGGAGCAACGATTTTGTAATTAGGTGAACATTCTTAAGATTTTGTGGAACATTCTATGTGTTTGTCTATGTAGTCAGGAGTCCAATTTTTTTGCTTTCTACCTTAGGAATTTAGGAAGGTTTGTAGTTTGACATCTGGAATTTAGGAAGGTTTGCAGTTTGACATCTGGAATTTAGGAAGGTTTGTAGTTTGACATCTGGAAGTTAGCTGTCAAGTTACTACCTGAAACAAAGTTATGCTTACTACATGATGTATGCCAAGTTGATATTATCTTGCTTACTGTGCTTTATTTGCAGGTTGATAGGAAGCATCAATGAAAGAGCTAAGAGCTGCTCATTTTCAATGGCAGCAACATCGATTTGGTTATCAGCATAGTAGTGCAATAGTTATCAGTAGTGAAATTCATGAACTGTTGAGATGAGATAGTAATGCTTTTGAATGTATTGATGCCGGAACATTTGGACATCATCTACATGTAGCCTGGATGCTATGAATGAATATGTTGAATATTTGGACTCCATCTTTATATGTTGTGATGAAATTACTGC